TCATGGCAGCTGTGGGTCAGGACCTTGGCTGAGCTGTGGCCTCGGGAGGAGGGGGAGGGGGCGCAGGGGGGAGGGACACGAGGGCCAAGTGCCCCTCTCCCCTCCCCCAGGCCCACCCTAGGCACAGCACCCCCGGGGCACCAGGCAGGGGCAAAAGGGTAGGGATGGGTCCGGCGTGGGGGGGAGGTGGAAGAGAAATGCTTAGTTCGCTTTCATGTGTTCTTTCCCTTTTGTCTTTACCTCCCTCTGCGCATTTTCTACCGTGTCTTCTTCCATTTATATCTTCCCAAGTTTACAAACCAAACTTCTCTTCCGTCATGGTTTCTTGAGGCGGTGATGCTTTGTGCGACGGAGATGACTCCTTAGGGGTCTCAGAGAGACGGTTCTCTTTCTTTTGCCTGGTGATGCCCACAGGTCGGTGATTTTGCTTGTTTTAGACGAAGAGCTATCACAAAACATTAGCTTCTTTTAGAGATGGGAGTGAGTTTCTGCCCAAATTCTCTGACCAAACAATAAAAAGGACCAGCAGGGTCTCTCCCTCTTGGACACCAAGTTAGTGACTAATGGCTTCTCGTAACTCACAGACTTTAAACAGACTCGGGCTGAGCTTCCTGGGGTTCGGGTGGTAAGCAGCAAACACCCTATTTCCCTTACATCTTCTCTTACTTCTATGTTGCACAAATTGGCTTTTTTTTTCCCTTTTCCAGCACAGGGGTTTGAACCCAGGGCTTCACACTGAGCTGCATCCCCAGCCCTTTTTTATTTCTTCCTTTGAGACAGGGTCTCGCAAAGTCACCAAGTTGTCCAGGCTGGGCACTTCCCACCTCCCTGCCTCAGTTTCTCCCAGAGTGCCAGGTTCACAGGCACGTGTTGCCTGGCCCCAAATGGCTTTCTGAACACAGATTTTGCAGGCCAACCCGTCTTGGCCATTGCCCAGCCCCTCCCTTCCAGGTGTCCAACACTTGACCAAGGAAGAGAAAACCCCGGCAAGCCACTTAGAAATGGGACACGGAGCACAGTGAGAGCGACAGAGGGATATCAAAAGCATGATGGGGCGCAGGAAGCCAATCAGCCGGGAGAGACGGAAGCTCTAAGGAGGCCCTTGGCTTTAGAGTTTGTCTCCGGCTCCGTGCGGAGCTCACCGTGCAAAGCACGCTTCAGGGCAAGTTTGGCGGGAATAGTCCTGAGGAGCTAGGACGCTGATCCGGGGGAATAAATCAAACCCAAGTACTCCTTCCTGCTCCCATTTCCCCGCGCACTGACATCCAACTGACTCTGCGAGGGACAGCGGCCCTCGGCCCCTGGCCCCGGGGGATGGGAAGGACTTCCGCTTCCTGGCTGGGTCCCCGCAGAGACTCCTGAGGTGATCACACCGCAATGCCACCCAGTCACCGAGAGAGGTCACAGCCACCGCGAGAGCCAGCGTCAGCCCCACAGACTGTCCCAGATCCCCCTCACCAGCTGGACAAGGCTGAGTGAGACCCCTCATCCCCGAAGAAGCACAGCAAGCTGTCCAATTATGTTCTAGGGAGCAGCTGTCAAATACTATAGGAAATCTCTCTCTCTTTTTTTTTTTCTTTCGGTAGTGGGGATCGAACTCAGAACCTTGCTCTTGGAGGCAGGCGGCAGCACCATCGAGCTACGTCCCCGGCCCCTGTCAAATACTAGAGGGCTGTGGACTCTGCTTTAAACATTTTTGCCTGTAAGATGTGTGTGTGTGTGTGTGTGTGTGTGTGTACATATAGTGCACATGTTCTGTGTGTGTCCATGTGTGCACGTGTGTGTCCACATGCATGCCACCACGCTACGTGTGCATACATGGACACACACGTGCGTACATGTGCATACATGTGTGTGTACATGGGAGACCCTCACACTCGAGGCCTGCAGTTTGGAACCACTGCTCTCCCAAGGGTTGTGGCCCCGACGCCATGTGCTCCCCAAAGCTCTAACTGACCCCCATGCGGACAGGCAGTGTCATCAATACCCTCTGAGGGCAGGAGGAGAGAGGCCCTCTCTTCCGGTCCTACCGGCTCTGATTCTGATCTCAGTGATCAGGGCTGTTTCTTTGTTTCGATGTATCTAGACCATCTTGGAGAAAGCCGCAGGTCTCACTGCTGCCCTGCGTTAAACTGGAGGGGCTTCCTGTTCAGAGCGACCCCTTCTGTGTCTCTGACTCGGAGTCTGTCCTGCTGTCTGCAGGCTGAGGCTGGAGCTGTCCTGGTGGGGAAGGAGGAGGTTTACTATCAGCAGGGGAAGTGTCAGAGCCCAAGAGATAAGACCAGGGTGGAGCCGGCTCTGCAGCAGGAGGCTGCGGCTGGACCCGGGGCTGGCAAGGGCGTCACAGGGTTTTTGTGTCCCACAGACGACGGCTCTGGGAGGCCTACTTCGCTGCTTCCAATACAGCAATGGTGGTAATTTCAGGTTCTGCAGAAAGGACGGGGGTGAAAAGAAGGAATAAAGTGATGAGAGGGACGGAGGAAGAGAAGCTTTCCTGTGTCGAATGAAGACACACATCGAAGTGATGCATCCCAAGACATCGTCCACTATTTCCTTTAAGCATCCACTGATTCAAAATCATCCAACAAAAGACTGCAAATTGGCCACATACAATTGTACAACGTCAAGCCAGGCATAGCGGTGAACAACTGTAATGCCAGCACTCAGGAGGCTGAGGCAGGAGGATCTCTGCTAGCAAAAGGCCAGTGTGGGCTACACTGTGAGACCCTGTCTCACAACGAAAAAAGAAACGTAAAACTTCTGCACAGCTAGAAAAAAAACAGCCAGTAAACACGGTTAAAATAAGTTAACTCCAAATACATTGTAACAGAGATCAGAGTCTGATAAACAAACAAAAGAAGGTACAAAAACAAAAGTGTGGCAAAGACGTGAAATTCAAAGAAAAACAACAAAACAGGAGAACGTGTCGAACACTTCTCATAAAGAAAGGCAGAGAGCAAGCTATCGTTTCTCTGTCACCTCTTAGATTCACAAAGATTAAAAAGTCTGATACCAGCTGGCTGGCAGGGTGTGGGGAAATAGACACTTTCATATCCGGTTAGCAGGAGAGAAGGTGTCAGCCTGGCAGGGTGTCGCTGTGAGAGCACAAAGTGTCCCCGTCTTTGAGCCCCTCCTCCTCCGTCTGGGGCTGGGAGACAGGCGCTGGTGAACGGCAGCGTGCGGCCTGCGGCGAGTGCCCGGCACACCCCTACCACGCATGCTCACATCTCGCCGGCAAAGCTCCCCCCGCCCCCGGTGCCATCTTACCAGCCGCCCTGTTTTGCTGGTGGGAAGCGTCCCCGAGACGTCCACAGCGGCGTCACTTACGGCAACAGGAAGCTGGAGACGCTGCCCTTCATCGAGTTCCGGTCAAGTGCGTGGCCAAAGTGTGTGGGATGGAACGTGACGAGGACCGTGATAAACCCGCTCTCAGTTGGTGGGGGAAGACTTCTGAGACCTTTGTGTTGTTATTGTTGTTGTTTAAAAAAGCAAATGTCAGCCAAGTATGGCGGCACACACCTGCAATCCCGGCTATTCAGGAGGCTGAGGTAGGAGGATCACACATTTTGAGCCACCGAGGGCAATTTAGAGTCTCTATTTCTAAAAGTACATATGCGAAAGGGCTGAGGGTATAGCTTAGTGCTTCCTGGACCCAGTCCTCAGTACTGGAAATATTGTGGAAATATTTGTACACATTTTAAAAGATACACATACATAAGCTCATGTGTTTTTTTGTTTGTTTGTTTTTTGGTTGTTTTGTTTTGTTTTGTTTTGTTTTTTTGAGACAGGATCTCACTATGTAGTTGAGACTGACCTGGAACTCACTATGTAGCCCAGGCTGGTCTCAAACTCACAATAATCCTCCTGCCTCAGCCTCCTGAGTGCTGGGATTACAGGCGTGCACCACCACGCCTGGCTCATGTGTCTGTTTAAAAGTTCTGAATATGGGGCATGGTGGTGCACTTGTGATCCCAGCACTCTGGAGGCTGAGTCAGGAGGGTCACGTGAGCCTGAGGCTACAGAGTGAGTTCAAGGCCAGCCTGAAATACACAGCAAGACCCTGTCTTCAAAAAATGAAGATAATAATAAATGAGAGCTCTGGAACCTTTCACAGACAGAAGTAGTAAGGAAATACAGGTTGACAGGAAGAGACATTTATTTTTTATTTCATTGCTTTCTGTATGGTTTTCATATTTTCCGAGTCCCAGACAGGTTTTAAAGTGAGTTACACTGTAACATCTGTTGGTGCTTGGCGGAGGGCCAGGCACACAGGGGCCAAGTGATTCTAGAAGGAAGACTGACCCTGCCTGGGGTCAGCAGTGACCCCTGGTTTTCTAAGTTCCAGAGGAGCCCTAGTGCAGGAAGTGCACGGAGTCATGAGGGCCAGTCCTAGACACCCCCGTCTTGGCCTGGTTCTGTTGGGGCACCTGGGTAGGGTCATTCTGGTAGGTACCTGGCACAGTTATTATCAGAATGTTTGTCTCTGTTAGGAATGGAGTTGAGACAGGCTCTCGCTATATCGTCCAGGCTGCCCTTGATCTCACTGTGTAGCCTTGAACTCACAGGGATCCTCCTGCCTCAGCCTCCCCAGGTCTAGGGTTACAGGTGTGCACCACCACACCCAGCTTCAGAATCACTTCTTTTTCTAGCACCTCCTCCTCACACTTCTCTTGACCACCATGGCAGCCAAGAGGTCTGGGAGTCTTCCCGACAGTGGATGCTTGTGGATCAGACCCCAGAGCTGTGGGGCACTGCAGGAAATCAGTGTCCACACCCAAAAGGCCCCTTCAGCCCTTCCCTGAGGCTCTCAGGCACTGGGGCAGTGGAAAGGGAGGGCTTGCCTGGGACTGCTTCCTGGGCCCCCCCCCCGGACACAGTGGCCAGCAAGCCACGAGGGAAAGCGTCTGGGTCCCTCGGGCCACGTCAGCAACTCTGTCCTTGCAGCAACACAGAAACTGATGCTTCTGCTGGACTCTGATGACATCTCTGATCTGTTCCAGGTACCGGAACTGCGTCTACACTTACAGAATCCTGCCCAACGAGGAGGACAAGTTCACTGTCCAGGTAAGCTGTCCTGGGGAAGGGAGAGAAGAGCATGTGTCCCGTGTCGCCTGGTCCTAAGGGCTGGGCTGAACCTGTCCTCCTCCCAAAGCCCAGGCACGGCTCTGGGGGGAAGTGTGACCCCGCCCCGTGGCCCCGTGAAGTAGGCGTGCCTGGGGTTACTTGTGCCCACGAGTGTCAAAAGGACACAGTGGTGAAGAGAGAAGCCCAGAGGTGAAGGGGAAAAGTCTGTTTGTGGTTGCACAGTGTTTTCTCCCGGCCCTCCCCAGGGAGGGACCAGAGAGAAGGCTCCGCGGGTCTGCGGGACCCACAGAGGTTGCCACACAAGGTCTCACTGCGCGGGACTCAGGGCTGAGTTTTAAAAGGAAAAAGTGCACTGCTCCGAGCCTGGCAGGACCACGCTGGGCCTGGCCTGTGGGACAAACACGAAGGGCTCCGTCTGACCACAGAGGAAGCTATTTTTATCTGGCTGTATGAAGAGAACACGGGGGTGGAAAAGAAGAAGGAAGCTCTGGTCTCAGGGTCCTCAGCTGGGTGAGGGAGGCCGTGTGTGTGTGTGTGTGTGTGTGTGTGTGTGTGTGTGTGTGTTACTGAATCCTGAGGGATCATGGGAAGAAGAGAAGAGCGGCTGGGAGAGACAAGGTTGGTCACCACATCACAGAGGCCCAGCGAGGAAGCATAAAGGGTTGAGCTGCAAAGAAAGTAGAAGGGAGTAGCAGGGGAGAGGACGATCCTCAGCCTGTGATCTCAGCACTCAGGAGGCTGAGGCAGGTGGACCGCCAGGGGTTCAAGGCCAGTGTGGGCTACACACTGGGTTCAAGGCCGGCCTGAATTACACAGTAAGACCCTGTCTCAAAAGACAGACAACAAAACCCTGAACTAGAATGGCTATCGCTCATGTAGGTGAGTCACCTGCCTCAGTGCTGCTGCTGTGTCCAAGCCTGGGCCAGGGCAAACCTCCCTGCCCCCCGGCCCGCTGTCCTTCTGAGGAGCTCCCCGAGAGGAGTCACAATGCCAAAGTTAAAAGCTACTTGGAGCCTTTGATCTTTTTCCCCTCATGGTTTCTTCTATTCCTTCAAAGTGGAGGAAACTCTAAGTATGACTGGAAAAGACCTGATTCTGCGGCTTTTGTGTCACACTGTACGGGGCTTGTGGAGGTGCAGACTACGCCTTGCTGCGGTAGCTTCCTGTGACGCTGAGTGGTCCCCGGACCAGCAGAAGCTTTGAAACCCGAGCTGCGTCAGTGGCTGGCGGGCCTGGTACGCCTGGTGGGGTCAGGCTGCGGAGGACCTGGCCAAGTGCCACCGCCGTGCCTCAGTTCTGCTGTGCTGGTTGGCGCCTTCTCGGTTCCCAGCGTGCCCAGAGGGAGCTGATTGGTGGGGACCCCCAAAGGCTTCCCCTGCCCTGCCCAGGCCTCTCAGAGACCACAGTCCCTGTGTGACTCAGCTGTCCTGGAGAGGTGACCCCCCGAAGCGTGAGGACTGGCACGGTCCTCAGGCCACCTCAGCCAGGGCAGCAGTGGGCAGTTTTTGCAGAAGGGAGCCAGCCGTGGAGGACAGGTCTGCTCCCAACCGTGGACCTGGTCTGGG